TATTAAAAAAAATTCTCTCTCTCTCTCTAAAATAAATAAATAAATAGATAGATAAATAAATAAATAATTAGAAAACTGCTGGCAAGTGCAGGAATTGTGCATAATAATTAATTGGAAGAATTCAACAATTATCTCCTCACTTCTCCCTTTGCTTTTTCCTTTATTTGCAAACTGTTGGTTTTAATGTAAGGRTACATCAAATGCAGTCTCTATTTCTTTTACAAACTTGTTTTCCAATACTTTAGGTATTCTATATATTTTCAACTGAGCTTTCTAACTGAGAAGAAAAGATCTTAAAAGCTGAACTAACTCTCTTATCAACAGATGAGGTATAAATAAATAGTAATAGCTTTAAGTGACAACTTTCTCTGAGCCTCATTCCATAACAAAACGGAATGAGATGATTGCAGATATGCTGAAAGTGAGTGCTGGAATGACCATTCACTACTCTTAAAGTTAAAATTCATCAGTGATAAAACCAGAGTCACAAACAAAAACACAGTATTTCAGTATTAAAGTACTAAAAACACAGAACACTATAAAGGAGTCCACATTGTTTTATGGCAACAGGAAATTCCAGGCATAAAAAACAATATAAATTCTACCTCTAATTAGGCAATGATCAACACTAACAGATGATATCAGGAAAAGCTTAAGGAAAGCAGTTCGAATCCAGAATTCAAAATAGAGATGGATGTATCTATTCCATCCATCCCAGGACTAACACTAAGTACCAATACAAGTGTCTCTATATAAAATGTTGAACATACCAGAACAACTTTTATCAGAGAAGGAACCCTGTGGCATACCCCCAAAATACTCCCTGCTTATCAGTAAACTTCTGGTAAACATAAGTAAGGGCACACAAATGTATCCAGAACTCAAAAAATATTTCTTATTTTCAAATAAGTAGCATAATCACATGAATAAAATAAAACTTGGACCTTGCTGGCTCATCAAAATAAATTTCAAAATCGTAAAAAAAAAAAACTACCAACCCATTCTGCACACAAGCTTTTCCTTAACACATGAGGGAAAACTTAGGCTAAGAAAATTCCAAAGGATCCCACAGGATCACTAGAGATCCTTGAAAAGGAAAAATGAGAAATGTGAGTTCAATAACTGGTGTCTTTTTAAATAATTTTTAAATATATTTTTTAGTTGTTGATAGACCTTATTTTATTCATTTATTTATACGCAATGCTGAGAATCGAACCAGTGCCTCACACATGTGAGGCAAGCTTTCTACCACTGAGCCACAATCCCAGCCCAACTAGTGTGTCTTTTGTCCCTTTCTACAGACAAAATTTTGACCAAACAAGCCCTTGGTAGACCACAACCCACCACTTCCATTATTTTCTGCTAGGTGGCTTTAGGTCACAACCTGAAACAGTACACACGATCTAGGCAGTAATATATATATATATATATATATATAAAGCAATCTGGAAATAACCAAGATTCCTACTCTGCTAATTCCTTAAAAATTAATTCAATTCTATAAAAATGGCCTGGATTATTTAAAAATATCAATACCATGTAAGACAAAGCAAGGGAATTTTTATACATTACAGAGATTAAAGAGACTGGACAAGCAAATGTAATGCATGAATCCCAACTAGACACAAGATTTAAAGTCATAAATATTTTTGGAACAATTAAAGAAAATTCTGCATAGGGATTATATATTTTATATATATATAATATATTTTAATGCTTATGCAGGAAAATGTCCTTGTTCTTAAAACATACATTCTRAAATATTTAAAGGTGAACTGCCATGTCTTTACTTAACACTTTCAAATGATTCTGTAAAAAATGCAAACATATGGGCTGGGGATGTGGCTCAAGCGGTAGCGCGCTCGCCTGGCATGCGTGCGGCCCGGGTTCGATCCTCAGCACCACATACCAACAAAGATGTTGTGTCCGCCGAGAACTAGAAAATAAATATTAAAAATTCTCTCTCTCACTCTCTCTCTCCTCTCCCACTCTCTCTTAAAAAAAAAATGCAAACATATATAGAAGAGGGATAAGGCAAATGTGAAAAACTTGTAACAATTAGGTAAATGCTAGATGGGTGGCGTATTCACTATAGTATTCCTTCAATTTCTTGTAGATTTCAAAATTTTCAAAATATTTTTTATGTATGTGTGTGGTGCTGGGAATTGAGCCCAGGGCCTTGTGCATGCAAGGCAAGCACTCTACCAACTGAGCTGAGCTATATCCCCAGCCTGCAAAAAAAATTTTTTTTTTTAAGGATTGAAAAATGCCTGTGCAACTTCTGGGAGACAGGGTGGTGTTTATGAGGTATTTAACAAGAGACTAATAAATTACCTCCTATTCATAACCTGAATCTGGAATGCTTACAAAAGCCTTGTAAAAGAAGAAAGTATATTTATATAATCAATATGGGAAGTGGCTCAAATATATATAAACCCATGAATTTCCAAGTTTTTTTTCTGGAACTTAATTATTTCAAAGTTACCAGAAGTGATATATCTGTTGCTAAGTGTAAGTTTTTAGGGGTATTCCACATCTGGGATGATGAAACAAAATGGGTTAACTGAATAAAGTAAAAAACAAAGATATGTGGGGCTGGGGCTCAGTGGTAGAGCGCCTGCCTCACATGTGTGAAGCCCTGGGTTCGATCCTCAGCACCTCATAAAAATAAATAAATGAAGATATTGTGTTCCATCTACAACTAAAAACAAACAAACAACAACAACAAAATAAACCCCAAAGATGTGAAGAAAGTATGATCAATTCATTGTTTTCACATATTATTTAGGTTACAGGTCGCAGAATTTTATAGGTTTACTTTCACTTTCTGTTATACTTCCAGTTCTGTTAATTTGCATATACTGCTTTTCTTTATATTTTATTTATTTATTTATTTATTAGTTGTAGGTGGATACAATACTTTATTTATTTTTATGAGGTGCTGAGGTTCGAACCCAGGGTTTCGCACGTGCGAGGTGAGCRTTCTACCACTGAGCCACATCCCCAGCCCGGCAAATACTACTTTTCTAATAAGTCAAAAACATTGAGAAGACACACAATTGACCAAATTAAAATTCTACTGAAGCCACAGGAAGAGATGGCTAGACACCAGAGGCAGATTTAGAAATAGTTTCACTGAAACTATAAGCAGTATTTATCACATCAAAACAAAAAAGATAAGAAAGTTTCAGAATGCAGCCATTACTCACCAATTCGTTCATTAAATAAACATCTAATACCACGGATCCTGAAATAAATAAGATATAGTCTATCCCCTCACTGAATTTACAGTCTAACTGGAGGAACCAGACAAGCAAACCATTAATCCAAAAGGAACACAGACAAACTGATGCTTACAGATGTGCAAGGCCAACAGGCAACATGCTATGAAGATTAAGCAACGTGAAACAAAGGTCATGTCCTGAGCTCATCTTCAATCAACATACTTCCAACATGGATTGCAGACAAACAGAACATCCCTAAGCCTGTGCAGGTTCATAAAATGGAGTTAATTCAGACATATTAAAATTAAAATAAGCCAGCATAGTAGTGCATGCCTATAATACCAGCAATTCAGGAAGCTGAGGCAGGAGGAACACAATTTGGAGACCAGCAGGGGCAACTTAATGAGACCATATCTCAAAATAAAATTTAAAGTGCGGGAAGAGAGGAATGGGGATGTAGCTCAGTGGGTAAGTACCCCTGGGTTCAATCCCCAGTACCAAAATAAATAAATAAATCAGTATCCACACTCAATGCAGTGGTGCATGTCTATAATGTAGTTGGATACATCATTCATGATTCATGAGGCTGAGACAGGAGGATCCCAAGTTCAAGGACTGCCTTGGCAACTTAGCAAGACCCTATTCATTGTATGTTGCCTCATAGCATGTCCTTTGATTCACGTTGCTTAACCTTCATAGCATGTTGCCTTCATAGCTCAGTGGTAAAGTGCCCCTGGGTAGAATCCCCTGTTCAAAAAAAAAAGTTTTTTTTTTTCATCTTCCCTACATTCAACAAATCATCTTATGTCTAAATCAAGGGTCAGCAAACTAAGCCCCAAATCAAATCTGGTCCATCAGCTGTTTTTGTAAACAAAACAAACATCTATAATTAAACATTTGTTTATTAGAACACAGCCTGATCCACTCATTTGTGGAAGGTCTACAGCTGCTTTGCTGCTACAATGGAGAGGTTGAGTAATTATGATAGAGACAATATAGCCCACAAAACTTAAAATATTTTCTGGCCCTTACACAAAAAGTTTGCAGACTCATGGTCCAAATGATAGCCGAAATATCAGAAATGGTAGAAAAATAATTACCGTGTTCATTTCAGCCCTATTTAAGCTTTACTATGAACTCTACCTCTTGCATTGTAATTAGTGTCACTTGGTAAATACTAATGTTCACATTTCAGTTATTTTCCAAGAAGTAGGTATTACTTTAGCTGCCCAGTAATTTATCCTTCACAACATTATTACAAACAAAATCCTAATTAAGAAACATTTGCAATTATCCCCACACACACTTAGCTTTCAATTGCTTCCAATCTACAAAGATATAGACAAGCAAAGCTGAACACAGAAACAACAGCTAATATGACTTAATTCCCAATAGTCTATCCACACTATAATATCCCAAAATGCCATTAACAACGAACAGCATCAGTGTCACCGGACTGCTTATTAGAGAAACAAAATTCAGAGTCAGGCATGGTGGTGTACACCTGTAATCCCAGTGATTCCCAGAGGCTGAGGCAGGAGGATCACAAGTTCAAGGCCAGCCTCAGCAACTTAGCAAGACCCTGTCTCAAAATAAAAAATAAAAAGGGCTAGGGATGTAGCTTAGTGGTAAAGTGCCCCTGGGTTCAATCCCCAGTACCAAAAAAAGAAAAAAAAAAAAAAAAAAAATTCATGGGCCCATTCCAGACCTACCAAGTGATTCTTATGCACATCAAACCTTGAGAACCACTACACTAAAACATTTCATGTTACTTACTTTGAGTGTGAAGAGGCTGATTCGGCCAGGCAATTTAAAAAACAGCCCTTCTCCTCCTCTTGAATTGGAATGTAGCATGGCATTGAGGCAYGCAAGAGGGGATGTCCCACTGTAAAATACAAAAGGATGGATGAGGATCATATAAATCCATGGGCCTACTAATCAAAGACCCAATCATATTCAGAGAGATCTGGGATAAGAAATGTTATGTGATACCCGAAATCAACATCCACAGGGCTTTCCGAGACTATGAATCAAATTCCAAGAAATTTCAGGAAAACCACAAGTTTTTCCAGTTATATTTTAATAAAATTTTGAAACTTACATGTTAATTATACTATGAAAAACAAAACCAAGTTTCCTAGCCTCTAAATTTCAACCTACATATGCTCAGAAATTGCCAGATACCATTATCAACACAAAGACCACAGAATCAATGGCACTGTCCCAATAAAACAAGTATACCTTTTGTTTTTTCTGTTAAATATTTTCTAATACACGCACAAAAGGAACAGTATTTCATTTGCATTTTCTCTGTTGGGAAGGAGGCGGTTGMATTTTATTCTACATCTACTTAAGAGCAATTATTTAAATTTGTCTGAAAAAGGAAAAGTCAGGCAAATGGATTTAGTACCCAGTAATGCTTAAACATTAAACTAAAAAGAGCACATTAAGTTGTTCCTTGGTCCCTGCCACAACAGTAGTTCACAAAAATAATCACTACTAAGACAGTGGCTACTTATTAAAACTTAAAATAGAAAAACTGTTAAAAATATAAATGCCTATTAATACAAAGTTTGGGACTAGCACATTAGTGATAGGATCCACCTATTCACCTTGTCATCCCTCTCCCCAGCATGTTAAAAAACAATTAAAAAAATATCTTAAGTAAAGCCTCTTAGTATTTTTCAGAATTTACAGAGGCCCTAATTTACAGTGTTAAAAATAAATTCTATATTTTAAAAAAGCCATTAAAAAACTATTACTTGGGGCTATTTCCTCAGCCATTTAGTGAGACCCTCAGAAACACTCTAACTTGAGTTAGAGTGCTCACCTAGCACATCTGAGGCCCTAGGTTCAATCCTCAGCATAAAAATAAATAAAGGTATTGTGTCCATCTACAACAAAAAAAATATAAATATTTAAAAAAAACTATTACTTATTCTGTTTTGGAACACACTGGATACTATAAAAACTTTCACCAAAAATCAATCTCTTAAAAGAAACCTGGTGCAGAATCTGAAGCATCAAGTGGGTGTGCTAGCACTTCTGCTACAAAGGGGAATGGCATGTTGGCAGATCCTTTTGTAACTCCTACACACTATATCTGTCTACAAATGACTGAGCTGCTCACTCATCACAAGCCACCTTGACTGCTTCATAATTCCTACAAAAGCAAGAAGCAGAAACAAGTTAAGGTTCTCAATTTCATCTGTACCAAAAGGACTAATTTACCTTCTATAAGCATAGTGGTCCAACAGCAGTGCAGACAGCAGCAAGATGGAAATAGCCAATAAAAATAAAAATAAAGCACAATTATAACACTACACAGTGCATAGGTACAAGTTGAATAAAGGTGACCTAGGTAATTCTATTCTTCCCTCCCCACTAAATATCAATTCAAGAGTGTTTTATCTGACAATTGGAAAGGAAGTACCTTTTGAAACTAAAAGGTTAATTCAAGCAGTTAAAGCTTGACCAACAAAAACATCATGTATTTTGAGAACCAAGAAAAAAACTGATATGCTCTCCTCCTTCCTCAATTAAAAAAAAAAAAGAAAGAAAGAAAAAAAGCAGCTGGACGCAGTGGCACACGCCTATAATCTCAGTGATTCAGGAGGCTGAGGCAGGAAGGTTACAAGTTCAAGACCTCAGCCATTTAGTGAGACCCTCAGAAACTTCATGAGACCCTGTCTCAAAAATTAAAAAGGGTTGGGATGTGGCTCAGTGGTAAAGCACACTTGGTATTCTTCGGTACGAAAAAAAAAAAAAGGTTTGTTTGGGGTAAGGGTAAAGAGAGATGAGGCTCAGAGTCACTGGTCTTCCTGCCTACAGATCGAATTACTTTTAACTTATTGCTTATCTATGAAAACTAGATTTCAAGAAATCAAGATCACTCTAAAACTTAATATATTCATATCATAAATAGTTAGAATGAGGGGCAACTAGGGATTCTACACAAATGAGACCACCTTTGTTTGATTCTAAAAGAAAGGACTAATGCTACAGCATAGAAAGAAGAGTAGTTTAAGACACAGCGGAGTCTATTAGGGCCTGCTCTCTTCTATATTAATGAAACTTACAAAACAATACAAGAGAAATGTGCTCTGACTCCTTCCAGAAAAAGCTCTAGGTCAAGACCTAGGGGAGGGCAAAGGCAGGAAAAGACGCTGTACCCACTCCCACCCTCCACTCAGAGGGTCACAGATAGTTCAACACTACCACCAGACACACAAGCACAGGTGTACAAATGGGTAGACTTACACAGATCACTGCACAACTACAGAAAGACACAAGTCCTATGAAACCTTCATGTTAAGCAACAAGAGCAATACAAACCTCATTTCCTTTAGTCCTTCTGCCTCTATGACCTGCAGAATCTGTTTTGGTGTCATTGGAGCATCCGAGTAGTTTTCTAATACCTGAAGAAATATAAATGTCCTGATTTCAGTGTGCAATTTCCATTTATTTCCATTAATCTATATCATGAGCTACAATTCTGCTATGAGGGACCACTAGTGACAGTTTATAGTTTTTCCATAGTTAAAATTAATTCAAGGCTGAGGATGCTGCTCAGTGGTAGAGCACTTGCCCAGTATATGTGAGGCCCTAGGTTCAATCCGCAGCACAGGAAAAAGAAAAAAAAAAATTACTTTGGGAATCAAATTACACATATTGACTATATCAAAAGTGGATGAAATGGCCAAATTTTCAATTCTAAGGACATGTATATTCTTTAATTTTGGGGGGTGCTGGGGATTAAACCAAGAGATGCTTTATACTACTGAGCTACATCCCCAGTGCTTTTGTTTGTTTGTTTGTTGGAAGACAGGATTTTGTTAAGTTGTCCAGACTGGCCTTGAACTTAGGATCTTCCTGCCAAAGCCTCCCAAGTAGCTGGGACTACAGGTGTATGCCAATGACCCAGGCTGACACTTATCTTTAACATAGAATGTGAGACCTTAGCAACTTAGATGACTGCTTAATTTGATGCATTAATATGGCTAAACTACACAATAAAAGTCAGAAATTTGTTCATATTTTCTTTCCCAAGGAAATTTAATAGTACCCATATTTTAAAATGGTGCCACTGAGTTGTGAAATCCTGGTATTAACTAGCCCAGAAGTTTTTGCCATTTAACAACATGATGCTGATTCTGTATAAGCAAGCAATGAGAAATGGAACATCCCATTTATGTTGGCATCATCTATATACCTAAATTGCTGCAGTATTTTTCTTAGTGAAACACTGTAGCTGTCTTGCTTTAAGAAGTTGTTTTAGAAATGTTATTCTTCTAAGCAAAGGGAAAAGGCCATTGCTATCTGTGTACTTCCTCTATCTGTACAGCTGCTGAAGAGACTCCAACCTAACATCTCACAGTCATTTAAACCATTATAACCAAGTATGTTCTGTTATCAATAAAATGTAAATCAACATAGTCTTACTGGACTGCTGCTGAAGGCATTCTTTATGAACCAACAAAAGCTTTTAACACTAACAGAATTCAAAGTTTGGAGAAGCAGACACTAAAATAAAACTATTTCTCACTGTCCCATTCTTAGACTCTCTCATTTCAATTTTTAATCTCCTTGGATATTATCTCTCATAGTGTCAATTACTACTTCAATTCTGATAAACTCTGATCCCAATCTCTAGCCCTGACTTCACCCCAAGCTACAGATTCAGTCTATACAGAACATACACTCTTGACTGTCTACTTGTAATTCATCTAATCATAATCCAAATTCATCTCTCCTCCAGACTAACTCTTCCTCTTATGTTCTCTACTTTGGTTGGCAACCTTTCTAATTACTAATTCAGAAAGGCAGGTGTCATCCTTCACTCTCATGTGTCTCCCAGGCTCCACAGTTGGCCAACACAATAAACTTCATCACTAATACCTTTGAGTCCAGTCCTGCTTTCCTCAAATCGTTTCTTATTCTGCTGTCAACAAATACATGGAATATCTACTTTGTGCCAAGCACAATTCTAGGTATTCATAGTAAACAAGACCAAATTCCTGCTTTGGCAGAACTCACTTGCTGTAGCCTGAGGTCAACCCAACAAAGCAAACCAATCCTCATCACTTTCCTGCTTCAAAATGTTCCAATAAGCCAGGCATGGTGACACATGCCAATAATCCCAGCAATGTGGGAGTCTGAGACAGGAGGATTGCAAATTTGAGGCCAAGCTGAGCAACATAGCAAAATCCTATCTCAAAATAAAATTTTAAAAAAGATTCAGGGTGAGGCTGGGGTTGTGGGGCTGGGGTTGTGGCTCAGAGGTAGAGCTCACCTAGCACACATGAGGTACTGGATTCGATCCTCAGCACCACATAAAAAAAATAAAGGTACTGTGTTCACCTACAACTAAAAAATATTAAAAAAAAAAAAAAAGACTGGGGGTGTAGCTCAATGGCAGAATATCCCTGGGCTCAATCAATCCCCAGTACCCCTCACCCCATTTCCCCAAAAAATCCTTCAATAGCCCTCTAATCACATATAGCAAAGCTGAAGTTTCCAAAGTCCACAAACCCACTAGGAAAGCACAGGCTTTAGAACCAGAAGGCCTAGATTTAAATTCTAGTTTTCTAAACTAAAGCAAGTTACCTATATAACCCAAGTCAAAGTTCCCTCACTTTTGAAAGACACTGATGTCCTCTCTCAAAGTTCAGAGAATGTAAGTAAAAGCACCTATAGTGTCTGGCACAGAGTAGGTGCTCACTAGCCTACCATACAAGGACCTCACAATCTGGTCCCTGCCTATTTCTCCACAGGACTGCCACACTGCCAGGCTACAAACTTTGCCAGGCTACAAACACATCTACCCAATCAACACACTTTGCAAATACATTCATTGATATATTCTCTCACTGTTCATCCTCTCTCTGATGGGCCTACCTCTTACTTACCCTTTAATGTTCAGTTCACAAATCATTTTCCTCCAGGAAGACTTCCCTGATCTCTGCCAGGCAAAGTTATATGTTCCTCCCTTTTCAGTGTCCTCACTATCCCATAGTACATATAATTATCTTCCCAACCAGGACACTGGAAAGGAGAATCTAATCCTAATTATGCCCAAACAATACATAGAAATCAGAATATCTGTTTACCATCTATACATCTCTAACACGTATCATGCCTACAATTCTATTCATGTGTCTGAACCTTCACCATCCCCAAAAAGACCAAAAACTCCAATGGCAAGCCTCATCCATGGCTGTATTCCAAAGAACGAAAGTGCCAAAATGAGCAGGGGTGACTTGAACAAACCCACAGTAAACTCTGGGACAAGCTGCTAACATTCACTATCATAGGATATCATTTCTTTGACACAAATTAAGTTTAAGCTGAGCTAGCAAATTTTCATAGGATAATTTTTTTTAAGAACTATGACTCTGAAAATTGGCTACCTTTTATTTAAATAGCAGTCAGGAAGAGACAGAATTTAAACAGGAAGCAAAATCTCTAAAGGGAAGTTACATCAAAAGATATAAAGTATTCACTTTTATTAAAATCCTATATGCCTCCAGCTTTTAGAATAAAAACAATTTAACAGTGTTCTATTGCCAGCCTTTCTATAGTCTGTACCTTTTCTAAAAAGATAGAAAAAAGTATCTACTTCAAAGTTAAAAAAAAAGAAAAAAGGATGTAGGAATGGTCAGTCATGAATCAAARTGAAATACAAAGCATGCAATGAAGAGTTTCCCAAAGTCAGGGAGAATCCATTTAGGGTTCTATTCAATTTAGAGGGAAATTTCCTTGGCTATTTCTCTCAAATTGTTCCTAACAAGCATACCCATCCAACTACCTAAAATCTGCTCCTTATGTCTGGTAAAGACAATCCTGGGGCTGGGGTTGTGGCTCAGTGGTAGAGTGCTCGCCGAGCATGTGTGAGGCACTGGGTTCAATCCTCAGCACCATATATAAATAAAATAAAGGTACTGTGTCCACATACAACTGAAGAAAAAAAAAAAAAAAGGAAATACTGTAAGACCTTTTTTTCTTAAAAAGTATCTACTTCTAAATAACATAATTGACATCTGCAAAAATCAATCTCTTGGAGTTTACTACTCTATTAAAATCCTCCAATCTCCTTTCCTCTACACCAAAACAGTTTTTAAAAGCATTCCCAGTATCACTCTAGTCACCAATCTGAGTGAGAGCAGGAGCAATCTGAAAATGCCACCCACAAGTACATATGATTGCCATTGCAAGCACTCCAAATTCACTCGCTGTAATAGTATCTGTTCAGTGCAAGCTTGGAAACTCTCCAGCACACAGTATAACAGCATTAAAAAAAAAAGTGGGGAGGACCCTTAAGAACCGCCCCCCCACACACACACACCTATCAACCAGTTCCATCCTAAGAGAGAAAATTCTAAAACAAAAACCACATTTAAAAAAAGAAAAGAAAATTAAGGATGTGATGGGGCTCAGTGGCAGAGTGCTTGTCTACCATGCACAATGGGGCAGGGGGATTACACAACACATTCCCACAAGTCCTTTTTCAAATGTTAAAATACACCACAAAGTAATTCCTATTCATATTTTTACTTTTAATGAAGAGCTACAGAAAAAAATGGAGAGAAAGAACTACTTGGATAATCTGGCTGGAAGGTGAATCAATGATAAAACAGACATAGCAACCTAAACACTGAAGTTCAGACTACAATAAATTTAAATACAGAATAGTGGATCCCACATTCTAGTCTTTCACCTAGTAAGAACCAACAGAGTTTGAGACAAGTAGACTTCAGAAATCTATCAGGACATAATAACACAGGATTTAAAGGTACTTTCACCTACTTCTAACAAGTAAATTCTGGCAAGCAAATTTCCGTTGGGTACCCAGAGTCAATACAGGAACTTGGAGAATTTCAATGAACACTCAAGACAACCTCCAGGTTCGGTGCATCTCTCTCCTACTTCCCCTAATTCCTAAATTTGCTTCCAGGTGAAATAAAGAAATACTGCAATTTCCAACATCCTGAAAGTTAGCCAAAGCTTCCAATTTTTACTCAATCAGAAAATCAAAGAGCTTCAAAATCTCCATATTTCACAAGCCAAAACAAGTAAGTAAATTGAAGCACAAAACTTCAACATACAACCAATTATTATTTCTGTTCCCTGGGCCACAACTGCCCAGGAAGATTATCAGGAACACCAGTGAAAATTCTCCAGTAGCCCAAACGGCTCCAGTTCTTATGAATCAATAACTGAGTTTTACAGGTTCCAAGAAATTAAAGTGAACTCTAGATTTGTATCAAACCCCAACACGTATTCATCTTTTTTTTACACAACACCTGAGGCAAAAACTCACTTTTCAGTAAGAGAAAAAATTAGAAGGTTGAACTTCATTCATCATTAAAAGAGAATTATAGCAATTACAAACTACAGGGTGTCAATAGACATACGCTATCTACACCATAACCTTGCTCTGACAATCCTGAGAAAGTAACATTTTTCTGGGAGAAGTACAACCTGTTACTATTGTCATCAGCAACATTTTATAAGAACTCGTCTTAAAGTGTCTTGGCTTTGCAGTGCAAGTTCAAAAGGAAGCTATTTCACTTATAAGTCTTCTGACGCTTTGAAAACAAAATTCACAAACCCCCTTGGCAAGTAGCTCAAGCACTCAAATTACTCTCTCCTTTGCTAAACCCTCAGTGAACAGTTATCTTCAAACAGAGACACTTTGTCTTTGTCCAACATACATTCTTTACAAAGTGTATTAAGTTCTCTGCGAGACGCCTACCTCCAGTCTAGCTTAGAACGTAACACACTCAAGTCAGTCTTTCTCAAAATGTAGACCCAGGCCACCTGCATTTGAATCACCTGGGAAGCTGGTTAAAACATTATCTGACTCTATCCCAGAATCTTCGACTTGGTAGGTGGTAAGGAGAGCCCTAGGACAAACATTTTTAACAACCCCCTCAGGTGCCCGCCCACAGGGCCCTAAAGTTTGAGAACCACTACTCAGGGTTCAAGGTGAGAGGAAGCACTTGCTTCCCTCCATACACCTGGTTTAGACTGGGAAAGCTCAAAATACCACTCGCGTCCTTGAAATCGGGGGGGGGGGGGGGGGGGGGGSGGGGGGGGGGCCTTTCCCAACCCTGGAGTCCAACGAACCACCCCACTACCCCAAGAAGCGAGGGTGGAGCTTCCGACCCTTCCCGGAAACCTAACTCCCGTGGGTGAATAAACGAAGCTTCCCCAGACCCCCCGAGACTGCCAGAGGTGGGGGAGGGGAGGCTGGGGCCCTGACGCCCGAGGGGGTGGAGCCGGCTGCCAGCTCGCCCCTCCGCCGTAATGGGGGAGGGGGGTGCAGAAAAAGGCGCCACTGCCGTCCCGGCAGGGGACCTCTCCTCACCCAACGCCTCGGGGGGTTGTCCGGGTCGCCGAGCAAAGAAGGCCCCGCCCCTCCCGCGGTGGGCAGGGCCTCGCCCCTCCCCCTCCCCCGGTGGGGGTGCGCGACGAGCCCACCCCGGGCACCCCAAGGAGGCCCCTCGGCGGCCCGCCTCACCAGGCGCGCCGCCTCGGCCCACGTGCGCTCCTTCTTCCTCTTCTGTTTGTCCTTCATCCTCCTCCTCCCCGGTGGCGGTGGCTCCACGCGGGACCTCCGAGCGGGGCGGGCTGGGGCGGCGGCGCGGAGCTGGGGCGGCGGCGGCGGCGGCGGGGGGCGCGTGGCGGCGGCGGCAGCGCGCGAGGACTCGGGTGCGGCCGGAGAGGGGGCGGGCGCACGGGGACCGGCTGGTGCGAGACCCGGCGCGAGGGTGGCGGGGGGGAGGGGCGGCGGCGGTTCCACGCGCCCGCGCTGCGTCAGTCGCCCACGGCGGCGGCGGTCCCGCGATCACTAAGGAATGCGGCGGCTCCGCATAACCACGGGGTCAGAGGTCACGGTTCTAGCCTCCGCTTTGGCGTTCTGCTGAGGAACGGAGACAGAACTGATGGCTGGGTAGGATGGCGAGACGCGGTTTTCTTTTCGGCGCCCGGGTGCGTGCGTGTCCACCGTGGGTGTGTGTGAGTGTGTGTGAAGAGTGAGGAGGGGGAGTGTGGGGTTTTTTTTTTTTTTTGAACAAAAACAAACTGAAAGGGCAGCTGGGAATCGTAGTCCGGGCTGCCTCTCCGGCCTCCCCCGCTCCGGAAGAACATGGCTGCGTGAAGCGCTTGGACTACACTTCCCATAATGCCCCGCGGCCATCTCTTTCGCCCGCCCCTTCCCATCCTCCGTTTCGCGCAGAGCTTAGTAAGGAAAGGGGCTGGCCGTCTTTCGGGGAAAGGAACTGGCCGAAGTCTCGCGAGGTGCGGGAACTGACTGAGGTCTAAGGGATTCTGGGAGGCGTTGCTGGGAAGGGGCGGCGGCTCGGCTCTCGGCCGCACTTAACCCGTGCGATGCTTCTTTTCTTGGGAGCGCGGGTTGGGGAGGGGCGGGGGGAATCGGTAATTAGTAGCTTGACTCCCGGCTCTCTCGTTATTCCGCCTTAAGCATTTCTCACCTACACTTTTGGTAGGTGACAAGAGGCAGGAATTTCCCTTTTGGTCCTCCCGACAAGACTCACTGCCGCATAATAAAAAGACCAAAAAAAAACACCCCACATTGATACCAGTAAAACGGTCATTCCACGATTGACGGACCTAGACATGTTCCTCTTCCTCCTGTGCTTTCGTGCCATGTGTATTTGCAGAGGCTGAACCTGCACTATAGATTAGAGCATTTTTGCCACTTCGTGAACTTGGTGATAGAATGACAGGTAAAGAACTTGGACTTTAAGGCCATACTTAATAATGTACCTATGCACCTGAGAGTTTTGGAGTTTGTTTTTTTTTCTTATTTTCTTCCGTGTAGGGAATCGAACCCAGAGCCTCGCATATTCTAGACCAGCAACCTCTGTATAATTTTAGAGGCTGTATCCTGTAGAGAGCTCAGGCCAGGGAGTCAGATAGACTCGACTGAAATCCTGACTGGGTCACTCCCAGTCTGCTCGATCTCTTGACTTCAGCTTTTTTATGAACATTAGTCTGATATCTCCGCATTTGGGGGATTAAAATTAACATAAAGCATCTCGAAGATTGGAAGAAAGTGTGAAGGAGGATCTTGACATTATTAAGTCTGTAAAGTGGCTCCTAGCACATTATATATTTAATAAATGATAGTTGTTATTTTTAAAAAATAGTTGTATAAACACCTTTATTTTATTTATTTCTATGTGGTGCTGAGGCTGGAACCCAGGGCTTGCTAGGCAAACACTCGACCACTGAGCAACAACTGGAACCCCATGATAGTTATTATCAGCTGACAGTGTGCAACACTTACCTGAACTCTGCACCTTGGTTGCAGAGCATTAAATGAAATGAGGTTTGGAGTACCCTAGCACAGAAAGTCTTTCTGTGCATGTTTGTTGAATAAATGTTTGGAAATATTTTCTACAATCAGGTCTCAAATAGATTGTCGGCCAGCCTTCTAAAACTACTTTAAAAAAAAAAAAAAAAAAAAAAAAACACCTTTAGTGATCATATTGTCATATTGAAAGGTTTCCCTGGGCCAGGAAACACACCCTGCACTCCCTGGGCCAGGAAACACACCCTGCACTCCCTGGTGTTAGCACAGAGAGAAAGCCAGTACTGAGAGAAGACCATTTACCTGCAGCCCAACCCCTTACACCAAGGAGGCTCAGTGATTCTACTTCTAATATTGATCACAAAAGACTTTTACATTCAGTGAATGAAATCCTACAAAGTGAATTGACTGCAGAAGATGAAATGACATATTTTTAAATCTTTTCCCTTCTAATTTCAACTGAACATGGGAAGGAGAAACAACCCTCCCCCCCAAAAAAATGTTTATTTTTTTCTGAGATGAGGTCTTGCTGTTGCTGAACAGGCTGCCCTCAAACTCTAGATCCCCCTGCTTCAGCTTCCCAGGTAGCTAGGATTACAGGTGTGTGCCATTGCACCTCTGGCTCTGACTTTTTTTTTTTATTAACTATTCTTTTTTCAATCCACAACTGACAGCAGTAACCTTTGATAAGACATCTAGTTTGTTGCAAATGTCTTGAGTAGCTTTACCTCTCCAGGGCTGCCCTACAAGGAGTAGAGAAGATCACCAGGCTCCAAGGTAAGCAGAATACTATCTTCCCTGCATGCCCCAGATTGGTCAAGCTCTGGTCCCTAAAACCAGTGAACTGTTTCATTCATGTTGAATGGTAAAAGAGACTTTGCAGATGGAATTCAGGACCTTAAAAATAGGGAGATCATCATGGATTTTCTGGGTAGGCCCAGTTTAATCAAATGGACCTTAAAATCAGAAGAGAAAGGCAAAGATGTTTTGGAGAGATAAAGCAAAGAATTAGATTCAAAGTTTGAGAGGAACTCAACTCACTGTTGCTGGCTTTGAAGGTCCCTCTAAGCCAGAAATGTAAGCAGCCTCTAGAAGCTGAGAAATAGCCCTGTCAACAGCCAGCAAGAAACCAAGTACCTCAATCATAGGTACAACCTCATAGAAAGGAACTCCAACAACCTGAATGAGCTTGGAAGCAGTCTCCAGAAAGGACTGCAGACACTTCATTTCAGCTTTAGACTTGAAGCAAAGAACCAGTTGAACCTTGCTGCATCTAGACTTCTGGCACACAGGAAATGTGAGATATAAATGAATGTTGGTTTAAGCCACTAAATCTGTGGTAACTTCTTAGCTACAAAAGAAGCTAACACAGGCATTGTGGACACTCTTTCATTTCTTTTAGTATACACTGCCTGGCTCTCACAGTTGGGTCAGACCACGGGGGAATCCAGATGTGAATATTTCAAGGTCTATGCCCTTGCAAAATCAAACAGAAACTAATGATATCATAATTAAGCATGAAAGAATATGTTTAGAGGACAGTACAAGTATGTGTTGAAAAGTTGGCTTTAGTCATGAAACCTTGAGTAATCATGATTTTTTTTTTTAAGGTAATGAGACTCAGGAGTTTATTTTCTTGCCAGAAACACCAAACACATTTTTTGGTGTGTGTTTTTCTTTTTTATCACTGTGTTTTTAATACAGATTATCTTCAGAAGTCAACACAGGTGCCATGGGGCAGTGTAAGATAAATAGGACTGACATTCAACCCTGCCCAGTTTGGGGATGAGTCACTGTTTTCAGACTTACAAGCAAAGCACACATTCAGGAATCTGAATAACAAACACACCACCAGCAGACATGCAGGATTCCCCAAAAGGACACTCAACTCTGAGACAATGTGCTACCCCTGGTCTGGACTCTTGCAGGCTTGGGTTTAAACATCATTGCTGTCTTCTTCTAGCTATATATGGGTTTGAGCAAGTTATGAAAACTCTCACTGATTCACCATCGTTTGGGCAATAGGGTGTAAAAGGACGAGCCTGGAGACTCTTAGCTACTTGGGAGCAGGGTAAGGTAGGAGAATCCCTAGAGCCCAGGAGTTTAAGATCAAGGCAATATAGCAAAACTCTCAAGAAAAATAATAAAAAATAGGTTGCTGGGCACTGTGGCACATACTCCCAGCAACTTGGGAGGCTGAGGCAGGAGGATCACAAGTTTGGGGCCCACCTCAGCAACTTAACTCAGTGGTTAAGCAACTCTGGGTTCAAGTCCCAGGAAAAAATAATAAGTGATATCACATTTGCTCAACTTCCAGCATAGCCTTTGATCAGCAAATGGGTAGCTCTCCTGGTCCCTCCTACATTTCTTTCTGTGACCTTTGGTTTTTGACCATGCTCATGCTAGCATCTGCTTGGGTTCATCATCCTATTCCCCAAATGGGACTTGGCACATGGTAAAATCCAAACTTTTGTGTGGATGACCCTATCTCATTATTTTATTTCAGAAAATCCATAAGGAATAATTTCCTATTGCATAAGCCCTTGAAAGCATTTAGAATCTGATCAGGCAGAATTGGGAAAGAATATGATAGGATTTCACCCAAAGATATCTATACAACTTGGAAAGATGATCAGGGATGGTTACTTTATGACCTCACTACTCTTAAGTCACAGAATCTGCCCATGTGACAGGTGAACCTGACTCAGCTCACCTACCCTTCACCATCATTTAAATTCTGCTGTTCTGGGGCTGGGAATGTGGCTCAGGCGGTAGCGCGCTCGTCTGGCATGCGTGCGGCCCGGGTTCGATCCTCAGCACCACATACCAACAAAGATGTTGTGTCCACCGAGAACTAAAAAATAAATATTAAAAAAAATACTCTCTCGCTCTCTCTTTATTTATTTATTTATTTATTTATTTTAAAGAGAGAGAGTGAGAGAGGAGAGAGAGAGAGAGAATTTTTTAATATTTATTTTTTAGTTCTCGGCGGACACAACATCTTTGTCTGTATGTGGTGCTGAGGATCGAACCCGGGCCGTACGCATGCCAGGCGAGTGCGCTACCGCTTGAGCCACATCCCCAGCCCCTCGCTCTCTCTTTAAAAAAAAAAAAAAAAAAAATTCTGCTGTTCTGCCCAGTGAGGTGGTACACACCTGTAATCCCAGAAACTCAGGAGACTGAGGCAGGAAGATCACAAGTTCAAAGCCAGCTTCAGCAATTTAGAGAGCCGCTGAGCAACTAGTGAGACCCTGTCCCAAGATAAAAAGGACTGAGATGTAGTGGTTATGGTGCCCCTGGATTCAATCCCCAGTAATAAATAAATACTGCTGTTTTTCAGTCTCTTAGGTCACTGAAAAAGATGTTTGAATTACCAAAATGTTAATGCTGGTTATCTCTGTCTTGTAAGGGTATGGATGATTTTTAGGGTTTTTTCCTCCAAAGTATTATATATATTTTTTAAACAATTTTTTTTTAATTTCAATCACTAAGCATTTAGATTAAGGTGGCAGATAGGAATTGTATTTTTTCTTCTTTACACTTGTCTTTCATTCAAATCTAGAATGAGTATATAGTACTTTTTATGATGGGAAAATAAAATTTCCAATGCAATATAGGTCAACAGTGGGAGAACATCTTTAATAATAAATTCCTCCTGTCAGCCAGGCACAGTGAACACCACTGTAA